CACAGACCCTTCTACTTTTTAATAAATAACTGAAATCTCTAATCTACCTACACAATCATAACCCATGCTTTTAAACTTAAATTTAACGTGTTTCAAGTACTTCTGGCTTTGACATATATTAATTATATCTTTGTTCATCCCAGGTGACACCTTCAAGTGACTAAAATGCTTCACTTTGAAGTAAGTTTCCAAGCTAATTTTAATTTGTATATTGTATAGGGTAAATGTTCCAATTACGCTCTTACGTTTCCACTATGTCGCACCATAAAAATACATATGGGTATGTCACAATAGAAGCACACCACAGTGGAAATCCCGAGTCATAGTTCAAACACTTATCCCAAATCAAAATGAAGCACATATAAGATTAGTTACAATACCATGTACAAAAATGGTGTTTAACATTGTTCCCTGAGTAATACCTCAATGAAAACAACAATGAAAGCTTGTCACGCAAATAGAAGGAGCACCAATGGGCACTTTCTGAAATATTTCAATAGTATAATTCCCTTGCAAACCCAAATAAATCTATCTGCGTAAAAATAAATAAATTAAGAGTGATTTGCGGCAAAACCCGCCAGTATCACACCCAACGTCAGTGCCTACCCTAATAAAAATAACCATAAAAGAGAGCTTAACGACGTGTTCGGGGTATCATCCAAACCATTTGTGGGATAGTTTACCCATCCGGGATACAGTTCGTTTATGGTATTTGTTTATTAGGGTATACGTAAGCGTACTACGACGCGGCTCTCAATCGAAGGAGTAACAAGTGTGATACTATCTTAGTAATCCCCATTGCTTGCCCATGGCGCTATTCTATCGCGGCATGAGCCAGCAACGCCGACCATAAACCACCGTCTCCAACACTCCACTCTAAAGCATGAAATTAAGCCCGCCCACCAACAGCAAGGTGCAAAAACTAGCCGAGGGGAGGGAATCGTGACGGCATCTAATTCTGCATTTTAAACCTACCCAACCCTCTTCCTTTCTACAATCCCTCAGCAGCTGGTTCACCATAAGTATACCTCGCAGACAGTGTTGGAAAAGTTCGCGAGTTATAGTGAGTTTTCGCGAACTTTTCCATCACTGCTCGGAGAACTTTTTTAACCCCCATGGGTAAATATGCTGTGTTGCTCACTCCTTTCCCCTTCCCTGGTGTATTATGGATGGTGTGAATATTCACATCGGTGACATGGCCCCTGACCCCCTTGTACATCATAAAATGAAAATGAAGATGAAAATGAAAGTATTATTAAGCATGAAGTGGAATAAAATCGTCAAGAAGTCGTTTCTTCAATAGGCAATTGTTTGTTGGGATCCCAGCCGAGGTCGGTGGGATTTTTCTGAGGCATAAAAATCTCTGGTCACGTCTTCCTTCGGAAGGGAAGTAAAGCCGTTGGTCCCGGCCCATGTGTGTTGTTGTGAATGGGTGCGATATCCTACGCAGGTGTGGAAGCTGCCTTCCTGCACATTCGATTGCCGTCAATGGATGGCAATCGATGTCCGTCGGTGATTGACACTAGATTGCGGAACAGAGACAGACGTTAAATAAAGGAATGCAACCACGAGTTAAATTTAACTCGGCAAATGGTTCACAGCTTAACTGGTCTATTGCATGTTGTGTGTTGTCCGTTGTCTATTGTTAAGTTATACCAGTTTTTGTAACCTCTGGTTGAAGACGGTGTCAATTGTCTTGTCAGTAGGGGAAAGTGGGGCAGTTCGGCCACCTTAAGAAAATCATTACTAAAATAAAATGGACAGTTCAAGTAGGCTTCAGGCATTAAGACTGCAACCACAGAACGGAAGGGGAAGTGCAAACAAATCGATGAATCAAAAAGTGGTTCGTTTTTCTGCTCAACCATCAATGTGTTGTGGTAGCGTTCCACACTACAGGACTACAACGCCTGTCATCTGCGAACAACTCGAGTGAAGCCAAATTTCTCTGGTGCTAATTTGACAGCTCCTCCTTTTCCTCTATGATTAAGCTTGATATATGTAACGCCGCGTCGCGGAAAATAAATAGAGTTTTCTAGATAACGTTATAGGAAAGCATGATTCACGCAAATTGTGCTCGTAACTAAACCATTTTTAAATTGTCAGAAAGTACGAATGGTGTTGAAGGCATTACATTTGTTGCCACCTTGCCGCATTTAATGTTACATAGTTGGAGCTTAAATATGTTATGGATCACCAGCGCTGCTGATGTTTTCGGCAGTTTCAAGAACTGGATTGCATTGCAGGGAGTTGTTCCACACGGGCTTTCTATGTGCAATCACACTATCATAGCATGCTGCCTATCATAACTGCAGGCAGAAGATGTCTTCCACCGCTAGGTGCGCTTGTGTTCGCAAATGACAAGTGGAGCCACTTTCTGATCCGAAGTTCCACTCCTGTGCTGCAACAGATTTTTTTGTAAAATATATTCAATAAGTAGATGCTTAAGCGGGTGGCCACGTTGCCCCACTATCCCATAGGTAGATATTTCAAGGAAAATTTCTTTCGCTATAAAACTCGCTGCGCCACCGATTCATGACTTCAAATACGTTTTATTATTTTATCGCATTAATTGTTCAATTCAACATAATACTTCAAATGAGAAAAAGAAACCTAAACTTAATAAACTGCAATTACATTCCTAAGTAGTAGTAGTAGTAGTATTTGTTGTTGTTGTTGTTGTAGTAGTAGTAATGTGTGGTAGTAATAATAGTATGCTTGATTGCAATTGGTTGATAAAGCCAAAATTTACACGATTTGAATGAACCGTCTCGATCGCCAACCATTTGTTCGGACGAGAGCGAGAGCCTTCTTTCTTACACACACGAATCACAAATATCGTTATAGACTCAGAGCTATAGAACCTTTTATATTCGGTTAAGTTTACGGTATTGAATTTCCTTTAAAAACTAGTTTGTATTTTGTGTTGTTGCTGTGTTGTTTGTGTCTAGTTTTGAAATAAGTGTGTTGTATGTGTATATGTGTGTGAGAGACAATTTATACTACGCATGCTAGTTTTACTATGTGTGTGTGTGTGTGTATTTATTATCATTTAGTAATATCCTTTTTTGTTTTGTATTTCGAAGATTTCTATTTTATCAGTTAAACGTTACTTTAGTAGCAATTAAGTTAAGATTTCAAATTACTTTTCCATTAGTATCACATTTGTTTTCACTTCACCATTTCTTTTTCGAATATAACGTAACCAAGAAGTGGTTACACATATTTAAAACTCATTCTACGCTTAGTTTTGATTCACTTCTGTTTTCCAATCCTATAATTAAGAGCGTTTGTGTGTGTGTACTTTAGCTACAAATTTACAAATATGACTACTGTATAGCACGAAAAACTGTTAGGCTGATCTATAATTTTATCATAAATAATGCTTAAAAGTACCGCAGCAGATCCCTCTGCTGTTGTTGCAGCAATGACTTAAATACAAACATTTAATGTTTTGCTCACGCGCGCAGACGACGTAGGACTATTATTTAAATAAAAACAAAAAAGGATAAAATGGCAAGATAACGTTCTGACGCTGATTAGTCAGTGTTCGCCAGGGAATTTACTTGCAGCAATTCCTGACCGTCTGAAATTCGAATTGAATTCTTACAACTAAACCTTACAATGTAAATAATAGCTTCGAACATGCCGCTAGGACCCGATTTCAAGTCCTATGCACAGGAAATTAAAGTAGGTAGGTAGAAGCGTTTGTAGAATTTAGGGTTGTGTTTTAAATAAAACTTAAGGTAAGTCGTTTATGTACAGCCTGCTGCCGCGTCGATAAATATTTCACATTTCTCATTACGATTTGACTGGCGAGATGGGGTAAAATGCTTATTTTTTTGAACAGTCAGTAATACTACAACCTTCTATTCACAATTACGGATATTTACGATTCGGTCATTACCTTTCTTGAAAGTCTTAAAATGTAGATATTCAAACCCTTTCTCTCGATTTGAGCGATATTACTGGTTTACACAGTTCTGATTTCTATAATGTAACACGATTTTGAAAGCGAAGTTTGCTATTAATGTAGTAAAATCAGTGTTGGATTTTTGTACATTTTCTCACTTCACAATTTACCGAACTTCTTGGAAAAGACAGCTAGTAAAACCTCTACAGATGTGTGTTTAAAATTCGAGTTAAACGATATTGTAAAATTTGCCTACACAAGAAGTTTAGTTTTGGAATCCGAGCTGAGACGCTGAGAGTGTCTGTTAGGTTTGATCTCTAGTGTTGCGGTGTAATTTCACTTATTAATTATTGTATACTGCTTTGTAGTAAGGTTCTTCACCGTGGACAGCTGATTCAAGAGCTCAGTTTTAAAAGTATCTGTTATTTAATGTCTAATGTATGTGTCGGTGCAACGTTAAAAGAGACGAACTGCATCCCAAATCGAACTGCGATTTACTTTGCCTAAATTGGTTAGTTTTGAAACAAACAAAATACATTTTGAACTTTTTGAATTCACGAAGAATTGATTTGAATACCTTTCTCAATGTTTGGTACCAGTTGAATGCATTTTTGAAAAAAAAATAGGTCTTTTCTGAAAAAAGAAAAACCGTTCCTACACAGATATTTTTTTTACTAGAAATCGTCTTAGGCCAGCGCTACCCAACATGCGGCCCGCGGGCCGGACATGTTCTCTAGATCTCAGCAATGAAATCATTCTAGTCCAATTTTATTCATCATTATGAATTTAAGCCCAGAATGAGTGAGAAATAAACAAAATGCAGCTGGAAACATCTACAGTCTTAGACCTTCAGGTTCTCAAAAGCGTGTTTTTTTAGGTTCTGCTGGAGATCTAGTTCCCTTCAGTAGGTACTTCATAAAACAAACTTTCAAAAATCATAATACCCTCTTGGAACATGACTCTTAGCGCGGACTGAAAAATCACTTTGTAAACATGACTTACAGTTTACTGATGCAAACAGTATTTTGAAATTTGTTAACGTTTTGACAGTTGGTGCACAGGTAGATTAAGGTTGTGTCGACACCAATGAGTCAACTTCCCTAGATGCATGTATTTAGTTTCATTTTCCAAACGCAGTCCAAAAAGTTTGAACGCAATTTTACCAAGCTCGGAAAATCGGTCTTCGATTTGGGATGGTCTCCGTCAAAATGTTCCTGCTAAAACGGTTTAACTTTATCACCACGTAGTAAAATGTGTGTATGTTTGTTTGTCTATTGCGAAATCTGCTACAGAGACAGAGAGGTTAAGCACACTCAGACATCTACCTATTTACAGTGCAAAGGATTCAATGTTTGACCTCGCGTACTGCAACCTACAATTACAAGCTTCATTTGCACAGCTAGCAGTTACTGGGCTGATACTCACTTAGCAATTATCTATAATACACATTCTGGAGATACTATATGATATTCCAATAAATCTACAAACACACAACAACTGTACGTTTCAGATTCGTTAAAAGGAAACATTTCACCTTGTATGGCCTTCTTTACGAACAACACAATCGACTGCGATTGCCCTTATGTGTGATGGATTCTAAATATCACGATGTCACGTCTATAATCCCATTTCTTAACAGCACCTTTGGTAGTTTCATGCAAAATTCCTTTTTATCTCCTGTATTGACGGTCACATATTGCTTTGATCGTGTCGTCACCCGATGTCCTTTTTTCTTCGACGCTCCCCCGCACATTTAGTTCAAATATTTGCGACACTTTTTCGATCCGCAAGAGCACGGGATTTTGACATCCTCGAAGGGAAACTTGTAGTCGTACGTTAACTCCTCCCCCTGGACGATGCGCCGGAGTGCAAAGATGATGATGTGCTTGTGGCCCAGTATGTCAACGACCTTCGAGTAGCAGTTCGGCTGTGGATGTATTAGATAAGAGATGTATAGAAAGAGAATAAAAAAAAACTTATTGAGAGTGCACAAGTTCAAGGTCGATTGTTCGTTGGCGTGGGATGGGACATCAAGGACGCGAGAGAGATGAGATGAAGGTCGTGTGTGGCATATCGGGAGTCAGTCTCAGTTCACTTACCTCGCACGAATGATTAATGAAACGTGCTGCATTGCCACGCATCGTCGCGTCTACGACGAAGTTTTCATCGATTTTGAACATGTAGCAACCGATGCCTCGGCCGTCGTAGTACCGTTCGCGTTTGTCTGTCAGAGTAGAACGGATCAACTCGCCGGCGTATTCGATTACCATTTCGCCTGAAATTTGCGTAAGTAGAAAACAAATTAGTAAAAGCACTCTGAGATTCGCATTAATTGGTTAGAAACGAGATGGATTTTACAACAACTCACCCGCTTCGATGTCACGGTTGCAGAACAATCCACGACCGTGAATATGCGACCGGTAGACTCCGACGGATTCCTTGGATGTTTCCTTTAGGGTTCTATAGCGCATTGCCATCGGGAGGTTGCTTCCACTGCCACGTCTGCAAAGATGAGGTTTGGATTAGATTGTATCACCGTTAGAAAATTTATAGAACAGTACTATTTATCACGTTAAGAAGATCACAGTTTTCTTAGTTACATAAACAGAAAACGAAAAGATCTGAATTTTAAAAGTACCAATCTGAAGGTTGACCCGTTGAAAAACATTACTTTATTTTTGTCCATAGCCGGTGCATATTGATTGTTGGATTACTCCAGAGCTGTACCAATGCACAATGGTCCCAAAGGCGTACTTAGGAAAACAAAAAAAACCGTTGATTTTAGGGATATGGTGTCTTCCGGAAAGTTTCTTCATATTTTTTGGCCAATTTTTTTATGTTAGTTAAATTAGGGTGGTCCATAAAATTGGTGAATTGAAAATGTGAACTTTTTTATTATGTGAGGTAGACCAGTGCAATATTCTAGAAAGTTGCAGAACAATCAATTTGCGGCACTTTTCCTGTAGCCACCAAACTTCCATCTTTTATGGTTCATGAGTTATGATGTTTTTAAACAAGCAAGTTAGGGTGGCCCCTGAAAAATTGGTTTTCTATGCATATCTTTTCATACGTTCATTTCTCGGAAAACAAATGTTCTAGACACTTCTGGAACTTTCAATTGTAAATATTTTTCAATTGTCAATATCTCTAAAAGAAGCAACCCGTTTTTCAAGTTTTTAATTTCATTTGAAAGATCATTATTTTGTTCATTTACGATGGGAAAACTGCGAGAGCGAATTTTGTTTAAAGCATTTAATTTAATTAAAAAAAAAATATATTTTTATGCGAAAAACTGCCATAATTCTTCAAACAAAAGAGATAGTATCTTAATTGCTTTGGCAAAATTGTGCACCATTAAAAGTTCTAAAAGTGTCTAGAACAAAGTTTTTGCGAGAAATCAGTGTATGAAAAGATAATTGTGAAAAAGTGATTTTTAGGTAAGGTTTTGACAGATTATTCCAAAGCATATCACAGTATATTTGAATCTTAGCGTCCACACAGACAAACAGACATAACACTCGCAAGTTGTTCATCGAACAAGCATTTAACGGTCAATTTAAAAGTATCGTAGTTGGTAGTACCGCCACCTGTGGCGCGCATAGTCAGTTCTCTTGCGTTTGACGTTTACACACTACCGCCATCTGTTCAGTGTACTACCCACCACAGTGTACTCAACAGATGGCGGTAATGTTTTAGCGAAGATGTTTTACAATGATGAATATTCAATGTGTTATGTCTGTTTGTCTGTGGCGTCCATATAAACCAGTGATAATAGCAAGCTATGGTATCTTTGAAACCGTCAAGCAAAGTTGATTCATTACACGTGCGCTACGCAACGGCAAAGCCTTCTTTGATTAGACACGTGCTCAAAACGAGTACTAGAAGGGAAACACAATACGCAGTCACTTTAGTTCGTCCTGCTGTATAAAAAGGGAAACATCGCACGTGTTTGTTACTTGAAAGAACGGGAACAAAAAAAATCCAAATTTTCTAAGTGATACTTGAAAGCACTATATGTGAATGAACCTTAGAAAGAAAATCACTATGGCTAGTGTTAAGTTACTGGAATTTCTTAATTACCTGTTATATTAAAAAAAAAAAAAACAAAAAAACAACAGGTTTGAAAATCTAATCGTGATCTGGCAGAACAGCTTACAAAGAATGGTTCCTCAGCAGCTCTATTCCAGTTTGTGGTTAGCAAGTTCCAAGACAGGAAAATCAATGCATCAGAATTAAAAAAGAAAATTCGCATGTTCACACTTAAATTTGCAAGATTGTGTACAAAGAGTTGTCGAAACAGAAAACGGTTCTTTGAGCATAACAAGGTTTGGCTGAGTAGGTTTGAAACTGTAAGCAAATTAGCAGAACCGAAAGCTGGAAAAGGATGACCAAACAAATCCTTCGAGACCTCAAGTACGAGATCAAAGCATAGAAAAGTGCACGATATCAGCATAGAAGGTCCTTATGCGGAGTTAATGTTTGTAGTGGCAACCAGGGCAACAAATTCTGGCCTACGAGACGCAGGAAAGATCATCAAAAATCTATCGGAGTTTCCGGAAAACGCAGATAGTGTAAAGAAGATCAGTGATGTGGAAGGTATGGTTAGTAAAACAGTCCCAGTAGGCCATGTTTGATATTTAATAATATTAGCTAGCGTAAACCATAGAATAAAGGTTATCTTTAATTATCTTTTCATACACTGATTTCTCGCAAAAACTTTGTTCTATACACTTTTAGAACTTTTAATGGTGCACAATTTTGCTGAAGCAATTAAGATACTATCTCCTTTGTTTAAAGAGTTATGGCAGTTTTTTGCATAAAAATATGATTTTTTTTAAATTAAATTAAATGCTTTAAACAAAAATCGCTCTCGCAGTTTTCCCATCGTAAATGAACAAAATAATGATCTTTCAAATGGATCGGTTTGCTCCTTTTAGAGATATTGACAATTGAAAAATGCCAGTTTTTCCAATCAAAAAAAGATAGCAACTTGGTTGCTTGAGCAAAAGTATTTGCCATTGAAAGTTCTAAAAGTGTCTATTTTCCGAGAAATGAACGTATGAAAAGATATTCATAGAAAACCAATTTTTCAGGGGCCACCCTAACTTGCTTGTTTAAAAAAATCATAACTCATGAGCCATAAGAAATGGAAGTTTGATGGCTTTAGCAAAGGTGCCGCTAATTGATTGTTCTGCAACTTTCTAGAACATTGCACTGATCTATCTCACATAATAAAAAAGTTCACATTTTCAATTCACCAATTTTATGGACCACCCTAATTTCACTAACATAAAAAAATTGGCCAAAAAATATGAAGAAACTTTCCGGAAGACAAAATCCAACGGTTAAAGCGCAAACATTTTTGTCTTCCTAAATACGGCTTTGGGACCATTGAGCAATGTGAGGGGGTGGTGAAAACGACCCCCGTGCAGGGCAACAAGCCAAAGGGGCGAATTCTAAGTTTCTACTTAGACATTTTTCCACAAAATTCATTCCATCGAATCCAATTAATCCATGACGGTATGCCTTCCCCCTAATTCATTAACATTCATTTTAGACTTTTTTTTTGTAAGATATAATAGTTCTGAGTCAGAACCAGAACAATTTGTGGTAGAAGTTTTAAGTTTGCATGGGAAAATATATTGGAAACGGAACGAAACTATTAATTTCCTTGTCAATAAAAATAAAATGCTCAATTTTTAATTTTACCAAGAGACTTTAGATTGAGAAACTATGTAGAACAACTTTGCCAAAAATTGCAAATTGATTCGACTTCTGAGCAAAAAGTTATCAACTCTTTACTTTTTAAGTTTCAAAATTTAAGTTAAAGTTGTGGTGGCACCCCTCATCATCCCTCTCCAACTGGGGAGTTTGGTAAAGAGAGATGATCAACCCGATTCGTACCTTCCTCAAAGTTGTCCTTGCTCGCTTTCTACTTTCTATATACAATTTCGTACTCTACTGGAACTATCAACTCTATACTTTCATCTCCTCATCTATCGTATAAAATGACCACTTTAAGTCTGTTATTTGACGCTTGGCATCTTCAACAGTTGAATAGTTACTATGGTGTTTTAGAAGCTTATTCTAGGCGCTCCGCTTCTCTGACCAGAGCGGCACAATAGCAGCTTCAATCGACAAAATCGATGCGACGAAGAGACTGCTAGCCACTGCTGAGATTTGTCCCTGACAGACTTTCGCGCTTTTTAGCAGGTAAACGGCTGGACAATGCACACCATTGATACTTCGCGTATCTGCAGGTATAAAATAGACCCCACTAACGGTCCTTAGCCTCTTGTCCAGTAACTCCTATCACTACCTCCCCGCAATGCCGGCTGGGGTACGAGTAACCATAGGAAAGATCGGGTAACCAACCCCGGTGGGACCTTGGTCGTATGCTGGCAGAGAAGGGGGGGACTTCTCCCTCCGGAGAGTGCAGTCTTCGAGCGTCTGTTCACCATAGAGGTGCGGCTCAAAACGGCGTCTGTTATCCATGTTAGGAGCGGCTGATCAACGTCCTGGTGCCAGTGTGGGACTCTAAACAGTGCTGTGCACGATGGTCCCCCGGCGAGACAATGGGGGTTGATGCAGACCCTACAAGCCAGCCGTAAAAAAAAAAACAAAAGTACAGGAAGCAAGCAATGTAAATACGGACCGGAACAATCGGCATAGACCCAAGCAACGGAAACGGACTAACAATTGGAAACTCGGAACATGGAACTCGGTTGTGGAGAGGGGGTCTTCCAACCCGTTCACTATGGCGAGTATCCTCTTGGTAATAGTAATGTTCGTTTGCTACCTTTTTTTCCTTGATTTGTTTTCCGTGCTGAGCACCAATGCTACCGACGCCAGCGAGGCAGCTCCCACACCTGGACCCTACCTATCGACCCATCAACTCATGAACCGGGGACCAACGGCTTTACTTCCCTTCCGAAGGAAGGCGTGATCAGAGATGTTATGCCTCAGAACATCCCGGCGGCGCCGACTGGGATTGAATCCAGGCCTGCCGGGGTGAGAGATAAACACGCTTACCACTACACCACCGGCGCCGCTCGTTTGCTACCTGTCGCCCCCGTGATTTCCAGGAACATCGCTCCGCGTAGCACGGATATACGCCGAAGAGAGGATATCACCATGTGCTACCAAAACATCGGTGTACCTGTTAGCTGTATCGGACCGTTGCTACGATGTAATAGTTTTAACCGAGACCTGGCTAGACTCTCGAACGCTTTCCAGCCAAGCGTTCGGATGTGAGTACGAGGTATTTCACTGCGATCGAAACCCGAACAATAGTCGAAAGTCCACTGGTGGCGGTGTCCTGATTGCTGTTCGGTCCGAGTTGAATGCTAGAGCCATAGAGCACGACATGTGGAACTGCGTTGAACAGGCATGGGTAGCTGTCAAGCTGAGCGATCACACACTGTACTTATGTGTGATATACATTGCAGCCGACCGAGTTCGCGACATTGAACTTATCGAAACTCATTGTCGATCCGTTTCCA